AATTTTCAAATCGATTTTGCTTCATAACTTTGGAACGGCTCATGAGATTTTTTTCAAATTTGGTACGTTGGCATAGACTCATCGGGCAATGAAACTCATATCATAATCATAATGAATATCGTTCCATGGGCGTAGAACTTGATTTTTTCAGGATATAAACATCTAAAACTCCTACGCCAATGGAAAAAAATTAGTTTCAATATGAAATCTAAATTATTCAACTCATTCACTACAAAAAAGGTACTCTTGACAAAAGTCGATTCCTCTCATGGTTTCGAAAAAAATGTAATTTTAGTGATTTAGAGCATAATTAATAATAAAACGATTAACAGATATTTCATAAAAATTGTTCAAAATGTTCACCATTTTCACGTATACAAAGATTTATACGACGCAAAAAGTTGAAATGTACTCTTTGCATAACTTCTTCATCGCCTGTAAGATTATTCGTCGCCTGTTGGATACGTTGCCATAATTGTTCTACAGTATTCACAGGGGTCTTGTAAACCGTAGACTTGAGATAACCCCATACAAAATAATCCATCGGTGTTAAGTCTGGAGAACGTGGTGGCCAATTCACGGGTGCATCATTACCTCTACCTATCCATCTGTCTGGGTACTGTTGGTTTAAAAAATTTCCTAACATCCACCGAAAAATGTGGTGGAGCTCCATCGTGCATAAACCACATATCTACCCGATGTTGGAGTGGTAAATCTTCCAACAAATTTGGCAACGTATTTCGTGGATGTTGTAAATACATGTCTCCTGTTAATCTTTGTGGAAGTATGACAGGACCAATTTTAAAATTTCCTATTATTCCAGCCCAAACGTTGATTTTGAATTCGTGTTGAAAATGGTTTATTTTAATGGAATGAGGATTTTCAATTGCATAAACGTGTTCATTATGAAAACTAGTTATTCCTCTTCTCGTGAAACAGGCTTCATCAGTGAACAAAATATTTTTTCCAAAGTTCAGATTCATTTCTCTTTGCAAATTAATGAACCTACAAAACATCAGACGACTTTGTGAATCATGGATTAATAAATCTTGAACTGGCGTCTTGTGGTATGGGTATAATAATTGTTCTCTTAGTACTTCATGAACGGCATTCCTAGAAACTTCTAGTTCATTACTTATCCGTCTAGTACTCAATTCTGGATTTTCTTCAATACGGTCTAAAATTTCTACTTCGACTTCGGGAATCCTTACATAACGCTGTCTTCCATAATCACCAGTTCTAGGAGCAAAATGACCGGTCTCCCGAAGACGTCTCTCAACTGCAGCAAAGGTTGGGTGGCTTGGTACGCGACGATTTGGAAACCTTGCCGAATACACCCTCACACTCTCTCGACCATTTCCTTGACAATATCCGAATACCAATAACATATCGGTGTATTCTTCATTGGTGTATTGTACGGCCATGATAAATCAGAAAAGTCCGATATCAACAATCAACGTCAATAAAACTCGACAAATCAACACAGATGAAACTATGGAAACCAAGAATGTGAATATCACTGTTTCCGAGCAGATAATAATAGTCTTCAGAAAAAAAAACCAGTGCTACTTATTTTCAATAGAAATAACCTATGCAAAAAGTACATCTCAACTTTTTGCGTTGTATAAATCTTTGTATACGTGAAAATGGTGAACATTTTGAACAATTGTTATGAAATATCTGTTAATCGTTTTATTATTGATTATGCTCTTAATCACTGAAATTAAAATTTTGTCGAAACCATTCGACCATTTGTCAAGAGTACCTTTTTTGTAGTGAATGAGTTGAACAATCTAGATTTCATATTGAAACTAACTTTTTCCATTGGCGTAGGAGTTTTAGATGTTTATTTACTGAAAAAAGCAAGTTCTACGCCCATGGAATGATATTCATTATGATTAGGATTTCAACTTTTTGCGTCGTATAAATCTTTGTTCACGCGAAAATAGTGAACATTTTGGAAAACTTTCATGCAATATCTATCAATCGTTTTATTATTTAAATATGCGCGAAATCACTAAAACTTAAATATTGTCGAAACCATCAGAGTAATCGAATTTTATCAGGAGTACCTTTTTTGTAGTGAATGATTTGGGCTATCTAGATGTCATACTGAAACTGATTTTTTTTCATTGGCGTAGAAGTTTTAGGTGTTTATTTCCTGAAAAAATCAAGTTCTACGCCCATGGAATGATATTCATTATGATCATGATATGAGTTTCATTGCCCGATGAGTCTATGCCAACGTACCAAATTTGAAAAAAATCTCATGAGCCGTTCCAAAGTTATGAAGCAAAATCGATTTGAAAATTTCAACTTCAGAGCCGTCTAGCGCCCAAACTAAGCAACTTTTTACTGAGGTAAGTTTGCTTGTATCGAATTGTTTTGGTCTGAAGAATATGTGGTAGCTTTTTGTAAAGACCTTTTAAGGACACCCTGTATATGGTCACCATATTGCAACACACATATTCAACAGATAGAGTCAGTCCAAAGAATCATTATGAAGTATATGTCATTGAAACTGAATGGAGTATATTCTAATCAAGGCTTTGACAACAATGCTATACATACTAAAACGTTGCAATTTCTAATCTCTAGACATTTTACTCATGCAATTTGTTGTACAAGCTAGTCAATAACCTCATTTATTGTCCTGAATTATTATTATTACATTAAAAATCAGATATTATTTTCCTCAATATACCTGGAAGCAATGAATTGAATAGTAATAAAAATTTCATAGTATAGAATGAGCAGCTGATTAAATGTTTACTAAAACAAATGAATTTTGAAATCATTTAGTAACTTATTCATTGAATTGTTTAAACTGATGTCCATTTTCCCTACCACACAATCGACACACTTTTAACAGAGACATCTTTTAATGATTTTGAATGCACAAGACGTATTGAGAAAGTGTGTGAGGGAAGATGGACATCCATTTGAATAATTCATTGAATAAGTTACTGAATTATCTCGAAATTCAATTGTTTTAGTGAATATTTAATCTGGTGCTTATTCTTAATTATGAACTTTTCATTAATATTTATTTGTTGCTATCGGGTAGGTAACTAAGTTTTGTGTTTAGTTAGTTAATTAGTGTTGGTATTGTTTTTGTCCTCTTCATGGGGAATTCAAAGGAAATATTCTTTCAATTGAAACTTTTTTTATATGAAAAATCCATCCAATCCGTTTAAAATTCAATGTTTTAGTGATTTTTGAGCATTTTTGAAAATGTTATATCCATACATCATGTATCAATTTGGAAAGGAAAAAAATACTGAATTTATTGAGCTTATAAAATTCATAAGTTTGAGTCGTATCTGCAAACCCGTACCCCGGAAGGAAAAAATGACTTCGCCACTGGGTTCTGCGTGAAATTCTTCATTGGATAAGATTCCAATTTGACATATTCGCTGAGAAACTTCATAGATATGAGAAGGTTCAAAAAGTATACATTTTCAAAATCGCCCTGTATCTCATAAACAGAAATAGTTATGCAAAATCTGATTAGACCATCATGAGTCTCAAAAAAAAGTGGCAAAGAACTGCAAATACCGCATGGTTCTATCTCCAAAGATAACTGAGATATCACGCAAAAGCATCGAAAACTGGACACACTGTACAGAGGCAACATATTTTCAAGAACTTGAACGATCTCGTCAACAATAAAGTGATCAACGAATTCGCAAGGAACCCTAGAAGATTATTTTTCAATTTATTTTCTATATATCATCAATTCCGGCGTTCCATAATTTATTCACTATATATCATCAATTCCGGCGTTCCACAAGGATCAATTTTGGCACCAACATTATTCCTTCTTCATATCAATGATCTGTTGGGAGTAACAACTTGCCCCATCCACAGCTTTGCAGTACTGCGTTCTCTTCCAGAATCCCCTTTTCTTTCCAGGAAACTGAGAACTCACGGCGCAGGCAGGTCAATGTTGTCAATGAAGACCTTGCTGAAATCACAGCCTGGGGAACCAACAACCTAGTTGAATTCAACGCCACCAAAAGTCAAGCCTGTATTTTCTCTAGAAAGGTAGTACTCAGTATGCCCGATATTGTAATGTCTGGCACCACCATCCCCACCAAGCCCACCATATCTATGCTCGGTATTTCCATCAGCAACACTCTTTCATGGAATAATCATGTCAGATCCATCGCAAAAGCTGCCTCACAAAAACTCGGAATCTTGTTCCTTGCGAGAAGCTACTTTACACCTCAACAGCTTCTCATGATCTACAAAGCGCAGATACGGCCTGTTCTAGAATACTGTTCCCACATATGGATTTCAGCACCAAAACATACGCTGATGCTCTAAGATTCCATCCAGAAAAGAGCCATTCGCCTGGTGGGTGACGCCACACTCACTCACTCTTTGACATCATTGGAACACCGTAGGAAGGTCGGCGACCTTTCACTTTTCTATCGATACTTCCACGAGAAATGTTCTTCGGAAATCTCTGCTATCATCCCTTCACTAGCAATACCAGTCAGACGAACTAGACAAGCCCAGTCAGCACATCCTTTCGTTGTCAACCTCGAAAGATGTCGAACAGGAATTCATTGCCTGAGGAAGTATTCCCAACAACATATAATATCCAGAAGTTCAAAAAAAATTCCAATACCTACCTCCTGTCCCTATCCTCCCTAGGAACGCACGATGTTCTTTGAACATTATAGGGACTTCCTTTCGTGCGCTCCAAGCGATAAAAAAAATATATAGTTTTTTTTTTCGTTTTTTAATTTTTCTTATTGAACTTTTCTTATTTTATTTTTTTCTTCAGTTTCTTATGGTGCCCCCCCCCCCTAGCTTTCCATCTGGTGACGCCCTTGCACTCTGTCTATATTAACATTCACAATAAATGAGTGATAGTGAACTAGTGAGAAAACAATAACGCAAAATAATTTTCCGAATTAAAACTAATAAAGAGGTTATCAAACGATAACCTAGCTCTCCAATTTAGATCTTCTCATTCACGGAAACAAATATGAAATCATACATAGTATAAATATGTAGTGACAGGGGTGCTGGACACAACAAACCGAAAATGTCAGTCAACCAAGTAGTTTTATTGTTATTACTGCCCCTTTGTTTCGCGAAATCCGACGTAACTTTTAAAAATGTGACGTTTCGTGGATACAGTGTGTTCACTGAAAAATTCAAGAAAGTTATACCTGCATCCAATAGCCTGAAGGATTTTTTACCAGAGTCTACGTTTGATATGATCGAATTCAGAGACCAGAATATTCCAGTATTGTATGAAGATTCACTGTCCAATCTCGATGAATTAGATGAACTGATTATTGAATCGTGCAGTGTATATGAGATAAGACCTGGAGCATTGAAAAACGTTCCACTACTACGAAGACTATCACTAAAAGGTAAAAAAATAAACGGTACTATTGAATAAATCGTGTTTTAACATATTGTTACGATTCGTCTGGTTCAGAATAGTATATTATGTAACAAGTGTTATAAACGTCCTTTTAGTAACGAGTAGTTTAAGCACGAGCGGAGCAGAGCGGAGCGAGTGTCTAGAAGAGTTTATGAACGCGTTACATACTATAATTTTTCTACGAACTCCGAAAATTACATTAACATACCTGCAATTCCTGCTAACCTACAAAATAATTCGAAAGGAATGGGAAATGAGAACATAATACATGCAACTGCATGCAATCAGCGAGACACGTATAAGTGATATTGGTTGTAGAATTGTAGATGTGTCCAGTCCATTGCTTACTTACCTTTGTTTCACGTTTATTGTCATGCTTAGCACAGAATAAATAAGTTGTTCTTAAAGATGGATGCTTCAGTTTCACACTTCTTGGAGATATGCAAGTACCAGAACATTCTCTTCCATTTCACTTTCGTCTACTTTTCGCATATATCTTTAATGAAGAATTCTGATACAAACGAATATTGTTTGGATAATTCTGACAAAATTCGAAAATAAAATAGTCGACAGTTAATACAACTGACAGGCCAGACATGTCTCAAATCACTAAAGCTGTGTTTAATGAACTGCGTTGCCATGGTAATGTGTTTAAGAAATCGTGTTGCCATGATAACGTGTTTAATATTTTGAATAAATCACAGATCGAAAATCCGTGATTAATCGATCATTTAGCGTGTTACATATCCGTACGCTAAATGCCATTTTAGTTATGTGAGTAGAAAAAATGATTTCATGCACTTCAGGGAATAAGAGGATTCTACTAATTCCTCATTTTAAGGGGCTAAAGTGACACTTTTCATCCCTCGGGAATTAAAAGTGAAAACTAGCATGTTTTCTCAAATGCCATAGCACATCACTTTTCTATGTCGACAGCAATAGCGATAACCACCCTTATCAGTCTGTAAAGTTGACATTTTGAAATATTGTACCGCTCCAACTATGAGACTACTCACGGTCTCTTATTATCTACAACTACAGTTCTCAACACACTAGATGGACCAGTCATAATTTGACTCTATTTCGAAGACCTGTATTATTTGAAAAAATTGACCGATCTTCATGCGGTTTTCAATATCAGATGTGATATTTCATTGGCTTCAAAGAGAGCTAGAACACTCTGAAGAAGTCCGCAGAACAATACTTACACAGGGTGTGAAGTGGAACCATCACACTATATGGTCTACATTTCCAATGCTGCCAGAACTCGAGAAATTTTTTTCTGATCAAAAGTCGTGATTTTTCCTCAATTGGCCATTGGAACAAGATTTTTTTTTCGAAAGTCTTGTATTTCTTGAATTTTTTCTCTAGAACTCCACTCAAGTTGACTACTGAGAAGAACTGTACTCATGTTTCTTGGAGGACAATGAAATACGAAAAAAACACTATTGTTAAATATACAGGATGATAAGAAAATAGGACAAAATCTCATTTCAGTAAAAAAAAAATCAAAAATGGTGACTAAAACCATGGCCCATTCGATTCAATATATTCAGAAACGGCCTCCTCGATATCCAATATTTATATTAAGTTATTGACTCGAGACGTTTTCGAAAATTTGCCTCTAATTGATATACAGGATGAAAATTTTCAATTCAAACTTGTTTCCTGATATCGATGATTCTTATCAACTGATTTCCAATATTTATTGCCCAAGTATGAGACACAAAGTATTGTTGTTCAATGTACTGAGTGTTCCACAACTTATCTGACATATTACGAACTCTAGAAAACAATAATGTTAGAAGAATGTGCTGATCAGCATTATCTCCAGATCTGAATTTGATAGAACATGTGTGGAGCCGAATGAAACTAAATCTATCGAGAAGGCGAGAGGTACCCCAAAATAATGACAACATTTTCCAAGCTGTATCAGAAGAATGGGAGGCAATATCAATAGACTTCATCAACAACCTCATAGAATCTATGCCAAACCGATTTCATGAGGTTTTGTTAAATCGGAGAGGCCCTACCAAGTACTGAAATTGAGGATATAGGACCTTCTAGTTGGATCTTTATAATGCTGAAGAATTCACTAATGTCATATTTCGCCAATAGAGCCCATTTCGAATATTTTTAGTGGATATAAAGTGTTATGAATTTTATTTTCAATCTCGTTTTACTTCCATAAAATTTGTATTTGATAGACTTTTCATGTAATATCGTAGTTGTGGTTGAAATTTGTCAGATAAGTTGTGGAACACTCAGTATATTGAACAACAATACTCTGTGTCTCATACTTGGGCAATAAATATTGGGAATCAGTTGATAAGAATCATCGATATCAGGAAACAAGTTTGAATTGAAAATTTTCTTCCTGTATTTCAATTAGAGGCGAATTTTCGAAAACGTCTCGAGTTAATAGTCTAATATGAATAATGGATATCGTGAAGGCCGTTTCTGAATATACTGAATCGAATGGGCCATGGTTTTAGTCACCATTTTTTATTTTTTTTAGTGAAATGAGATTTTGTCCTATTTTCCCATCATCCTGTATATTCCACAATAGTGCTTTTTTCGTCTCTTATTGTCCTCCACAAAACATGAGAACAGTTCTTCCCAATAGTCAGCTCAAGTGGAGTTCTAGAGAAAAAATTCAAGAAATGCAAGACTTTCGAAAAAAAATCAAATTCTTGTTCCAATGGCCAATTAAGGAAGTGTGTTGAGAACTGTATTTTTTTCAGAATTTATCTATTTTTTTATCACTTGGAGCGCACGAAATGAAATCCCTATAATGTTCAAAGAACATCGTGCGTTCCTAGGGAGGATATAAAGGAATGCTAAATGCAAAATGTGGGGTAATAATCTTTTATTCGAACATTTTCACTTTCCGGGGCGTACAGCTCAAAAACGGTATGGGACTCGGAAAAAGTGTAGGCAACAAATTGTAGAGAATTTCATAAGCTCTCATTTGATTTCGGAAAATTTCTCTCTATTACGAACCGTTTCCGATCTGTGAGCGATAAGCCCAAAAGCGCAACATTCTCACTGCTACAAAAAACGTCAGAACAGCAGTGCCAAGTACATTTAGGAACTCTTACTCACCCTAGATGTCAGAACTCTGAATATGTTTACTCTCTAAACTCGAAACTTGAACCTTTAGCTCATTCGTTGACTGGATTAAAATTTTATTTTTACAACTGGTGATGAAACCATGAACCAAGTTGAGGGTTTCACTTTCATTAACCTCACGATCTATGTGTTTCAGCCAACAAAATAGAAGAAATCAAAGGAGACATCTTCAACAATCTCCCCCTATCTACCTTGGATCTCAGCAAGAACCGCATCACCACTATTTCACCCACAGCTTTCGATTACATGTCATCGCTCTTGAACATAAACTTGGCAGACAACCAGATCTCAGTATGGAATCCATCGTGGTTCAAGAACACCCCACTCCTCACCAGAATATCCATGCAGAACAACTCGATCACTGTCATCCCTGAACAGGCTTTCCACAACCTCGAGGGTGAGAAAAAATTCGGGAAGATAGACCTTTCCATCAACCTCATTTTCAGCTACAACAAGATCGAAAAGATCCACCCTCAAGCTTTCAGTGGCCTGAAGAAGATCAACAACTTGTGGTTGGACCACAATTCCATCGAAGAATTCGACGGAGATCTGTTGAAAGGTGTTGCTGTCAAAGAGCTGAGACTGAACTACAACCAGATCAAGTGTCCCACAGGAGACCTTTCCGAAATGTTTAGGGCTGAATTGACTAGCATCGACGTGAATCCTCTGGATTGCGATTGTTTGGAGACTATCAAGGATTGGAAGAAGAAGACTGGCAAACACGTCGAACTTTTTTACGCCGATATGGAATGTACGACGCAAAGAATAAAGAAGAAGATGACTGCACTGGAAGAGAGAATCAAAGAAATAAGATCGATGGATAAGGAGACTGTGACCAATGTGGATCTGCTTCCTGCAAAGCCTATCAAGTAAATGATGGAATAAGAAGATATCTTCAAAGAATATTTGAGTACAGTAGTTGGAAGTATAGGATAAAAATACACATACATAAAATAGTCATACGATAATGATAAACATATTACCATTTCACCTAATCCACCAATTCTCAAGGGCTCATGACTTCTGAGTACTGGAATCAGATAGTGATCAATCTCAAACTCGTCTAGGATGGTATCCTATCAACTCTTCAGTTGTTCATTGTACGACACCAGTTTTTCTTAGTTTCATATTTTTATTAGTTCGAACTATTGAAATAACAACTTTTTTTTCCTATGTGTTATTTTTGTATCTAGCCTAATTTTTGAGGAAACAATAAAAATTCGATTTGACTCCAATACTATGAATAAAAAATTCCAGATCCGGACTTGGAAAACTCATTTTCTCTTTAGATGTCAAAATTTTGACCTTCTGGATCGGATTTTTCGAAAACTTTTATCAGAATCCGGAAGATTAGGAAAAATACTGCAAGTATGGCTTTACAATTCGTACGGCACAATTCGATCGTTTCGGTAAAAAAATATCAATCAAAATACCTATGAATTTTTCTCCGATTTCGTCCAGGCATATCACTCTCTACATACGACTAAAAGTAATTAAATCAAATTTTTCCCTGGAAAGATCGAACAGCACACTTGAGAAAAGGTAAAATTCAATAAAAAATTCAGGACCCGACTTGATTTCGGAAAATAACAATCTTAATATTAATCCATACCCTCAAAATGTCCTCCTTCAATTTCTAAAAATTTTCTGCATCTCTTCGGGATACCTCATATGGCTTTTCCAATAATTTGCCTATTATTTCTGATTATATCTGCAGCTGTAACTATCCTACTCCAATTTTCAATTGAAATCTAACTCCTACTTGTGATAATAATGTGAAAACATTGTATTCAATAAGAACAATTGTTGCTTTGGTAGCAGAAAAGAGATCTCCCGAAAAGATGCAGAAAATGTATAGAAATTGAGGAGGACATTTCGAGAATCTTGATTAATATTAAGATCCAGACAAATCTTTTTCGGAAATTAAAATTGTTTCTATCCAAAATCAAGTCCGGTCCTGGATTTTTTATTGAATTATACCTTTTTTCGAGTCTGCTGTTGAATCATTCCAGGAAAAAATTGATTTAATTACATTTAGTCGAATTCAGAGAGTGATATGCCCGGACGAGATCGAAGAAATATTCATCAGTATTTTGTTTGATATTTTTTTACCAAAAGTATCGAAGTGTGTCGTACGAATTGGGAAGCCATACTTGTAGTATTTCTCCTGATCATTCTGATTCCGATGAAAGTTTCCGAAAAATCCGATCCAGAAGGTCAAAATTTTGACATCTAAAGAGAAAATGAGATTTCTAAGTCTGGATCTGGAATTTTCCTTTCATAGTACGTCATCTTGTGGAGTGTCAGTAGAGGTGGGTTGCTAGTGAATTTCAGCCGATAACATCGAGACGTTCCTGAAATATCGTTCATTGAAGATTTGCCCCGAATTCAAATAATGCCCTGTATTTCTGTGAAGAATAGGCAAAGAATATTTTTTTACATATATATCAACTCACCTTGACCTCCGCTACCCGCCATTAGGCTATGGCTGGTTAGTCATGACTCACCCTGTATATGTTGCTGACTATCTACTGGCACCTCAAACTTATTTAGTCAACTTATCTTTTCAAGAGGGATCGTTTCCAATTACCCCAAAGAAATCCATTGTTATCCCGATACATAAAAAAAGGTGATAAACAGAAGATGTATGATTACCGCGGAATATCACTTTTATCAGTTCTTTCGAAAATATTCAAAAAATGCTTTTATATACGACTTGAATCGTTCTTGCATAAAGGACAAATTTTTATCAATCACCAATTTGATGTAATAAATATTGACTTAATGCTAGATAACTTTTACAGATGCGGCATCTTACCTTACCAATATAGAGAACAAAAAACCAACCTAAAAACAAATGAAATTTCGGTCCATCCAAGTTTCATTTCAGTTACCAGTGGCATCCCTCAGGGAAGCATACTAGGACCCCTCCTATATTCTTTTTTGATAGCCTCATGCAGGATTTTCCTCATCATTATGTAGCAGCATTCGCTGATGATGCTGTTGTTATGACGTCAAATAGCAGTCTGGATATGCTATCTAAAATGTCATGTGGTGCGATTAACCAAATGATAAATTTCTGCAAAGTTAAGGGACTTGTTTTAAATGAAGATAAAACTGAAATGATACTATTTAATCTCACTGATTTGAATAAAATCCTGTTTGTTAACCTCAACAACAGGAACATTGAACAGAAGAGGGTCGCCAAATATCTTGGGATTTTTATAGATGAGCATTTGACTTGGTCGTGTCAAGTTGATGCAATATTGAAGAAATTGTCAATCTACACTTACGTTCTTTGGCAACTTAGGGATAAGGTGGACGTTAATCTCTTATTACTTTATTATTTTGGATATGTCCAATCTTGTCTTTCTTATGCCATCATCTGCTGGGGCAACTGTGTCAGGGCTGATGAGGTCTTCAGAGCTCAACAGAGAATAATTAGAATTATATTATCCAAATCGTATACCTTTTCTTGTGAAGAATTATTTCCAGAATTGAACCTACTAACATTTCCCTCATTGTTCATTCTTGCATCAATAATGCAGGTCAAAAATAACTTATCTGAATATACTGTTTCTAGAAATAATCAATATGATCTTAGAGTAAATATGGATTTGGCCTTACCCAAGCACAGACTGACCAAAGTAGCAAATAGTCCCATTGTGCTACCTATCAAATTATATAATAAACTACCAATTGACTTGAAAAAAATACAAACTAAACAAATTTAAAAATACCCTTTAAATTATTTTGATTAAAAATGCATTTTATCCAAACAATGATTTTTTCAATTGCAACGTCTCTGACCTTGCACTTAATAATTTTTGTTGATGTCCTTACCACTTTTGTTTGTGTTGAAAATTTTTCAAAGTTTGTTTTTCTACCTCTTATGTATCCTTATCGGATTTTTCACATAGAAAACCTATTTTGACATTATCCAATACTGCAAAGTCTATGGAAATAAATATTTTGTATTGTATTTGTATTTGTATTTAGTCTCCAACCATACTGAATGTTGGCACCATGAAAGCTTATACAGGGGGGTTAAAAATAAAAACAATTGATACTTCCAACTTCAACATCCTTTCGTGCGCTCCAAGCGATAAAAAAAAAAGTTGGGACACATTTTTATATGAACTTCATTTGCTAGAATGTCACAAGAAATCGCCCCTTGAATTTTTTCGGGGTGTTATCTAGATACACCCTGTATAGACGAGTGAATAATTATTCGAAATCAATAAATCATCCTGTATCTCCGTTATGAATATTGTAAAACTCATCAAATATGGTAATTTCAGAACCACCTTGGTGACCTTCGAAGTATTTTCCTTCACCTATGAAACACCCTGTGTACTTTTCACGAAGTAATAGTAGATTGTTTTATTAGGATCAAAAGTGACACTTTGTTTGACAAGCGAATTTTGCATTTGCGAGGCGGAGCGTTTAGCGAAGCCGAGCGAAAGCAAAATTTGCGAGTCGAACAAAGTCACTTTTGATCCGAATGAAACATGCTATTTTTTCTGCAACCGAAACAAATAACTCAAATAAATATGTGAAGTTACCACCAATATACCGTGCCATATGTATGCAATGCAAAAAAGATTGAAAAATAATCCGTGTGGTGAGAACATTCTACCTGCATCAACAGCAGGTTCATTCAATTTTCAAGGATGTTCGAATTATTATTGTAGTTTCAAAATAAATACAATGACAGAGTGACATATTTGTGTATGGACCAGGTGCTCTAATGGCAAATACCGCGTCAGTGCCAGCTATAGAAACAAGACTTGGAAAATGTTAGGTTAGTGAGCACATCAACAATAAGAATAGCAATTATTTTTTCCTCTCTGTAATACAATGTTTGTCGCTTGATAATTAGATGAAGGTTAACAATATCGTTGTTTGAGACAAAAAACTATTGCTTGCCGTGATTATCCAAAAACAAGTTATCCATCCCGAGAATAACCAATGAAATACAGATCAAGCAAGTATTTGAACCTTGAAGGCTTCCCTGATCAAAACAAAAATACTTAACTGAGATGTTAATAATTCCAATACTAAACTATAATAAGGTGTATTTATATCTCCAGCATGGGTATGAAATGCCAAATCTGTTGAAATCGGGAACAAATCAGGTATGCCTCTCAACCGAAATAACCAACCGTCACAATGTTGTTTTTCTGCAACCGACACAAAAGTCGTCCATTTTGATACCAAAATTAGCTATTAAATTGACGTTTCTATTACTGACACAAAAATAGGTATGTTGCTAGGCAACATAATTATTTAGTTCCTAGGAGCTAAAGTTGAATTTCAGTTCCTAGGAGCTAAAGTTGAACTTTAGCTCCTAGGAACTAAAAAGGATCTACTGGACGTCATCAAGAATAAACAACATTGTGACGGTTGGTTATTTGGGTTGAGAGGCATACCTGATTTGTTTCCGATTTCAGCAGATTTGGCATTTCATACCCATGCTGGAGATATAAATCCACCTTATTTTAGTTTAGTATTGGAATTATAAACATCTCAGTTGAGTATTTTTGTTTTGATCAGGGAAGCCTTCAAGATTTAAATACTTGCTTGATGCTTGATCTGTATTTCATTCGTTATTCTCGGGATGGATAACTTGTTTTTGGATAATCACGGCAAGCAATAGTTTTTTTGTCTCAAACAACGATATTGTTAACCTTCATTTGATTATCAAGCGACAAACATTGTATTACGGAGAGGAAAACATAATTGCTATTCTTATTGTTGATGTGCTCACTAACCTAACATTTTCCAAGTCTTGTTTCTATAGCTGGCACTGACGCGGTATTTGCCATTAGAGCACCTGGTCCATACACAAATATGTCACTCTGTGATTGTATTTATATTGAAACTACAATTCGAACATCCTTCAAAATTGAATGAACCTGCTGTTGATGCAGGTAGAATGTTCTCACCACACGGATTATTTTTCAATATTTGTGGCATTGCATACATATGGCACGGTATTAGTGGTAACTTCGAGGGTAACTTCACATATTTATTTGAGTTATTTGTTTCGGTTGCAGAAAAAATAGCATGTTTCATTCGGATCAAAAGTGACTTTGTTCGACTCGCAAATTTTGCTTTCGCTCGGCTTCGCTAAACGCTCCGCCTCGCAAATGCAAAATTCGCTTGTCAAACAAAGTGTCACTTTTGATCCTAATAAAACAATCTACTATTATTCTTGATGACGTCCAGTAGA